CCGAATGCGAGTTAGTCTCGTCTGCGTTTTCAATTACTATTTTTGGCTGGTGGCTAACTTTGGCTACTTTTAAAATTGTTAGATTCGTAAATCTCTCAAACGTTTATGTATAGATTAAAAAAAAAAAAAAAAAAGTAGTGTACAAATACCTTAAAATGACTTGGATGTGTCTCGAATTGTTGTGGACTGATGGAAAATAAAAAGCCCTAATCCATGTGCACCTCTATCTCTAATTATAAAAGTTAACCTATTTGTAATCTCTACGGTCTACACTGGGAATTCCAAACCGTTTCAAGACCCTGAAAATTCCCGTGGTGTCGCTGCTGGCCACCTCTCCGCCGGTGATCTGACAAAGTCTTGCTGTCACCGCCTCTTGCTGTATGTTTCTCTCTATCAGAGTCTTACACTGTCAAAGTCTCATTCTCTCTCGTCTTCCCCCGTGTTATTTTTATTAGGTTTTCCTTATTAATAATCTAGAAAGAAAGCAATTTAAAATAACCTAATATTGTCTTAAAAACCATAATTGTTGGTGAAAATTTGAAAATTTAACTCATAAATCAATGTCAATCGAATAAATTGTCACCATAAAGAAAGCTTATATATTGAACAAGGGAAAACCCTGGAAAATTGATGTCAACAAAAGCCTTTCAGAATCATCATCAACAAGACCCATAAAAGAATCATCATTGGTCTTAAAAGAATCATCATCGGTTATGACCATACAAGACCCATAACAAATGCCAACACAAGCACAAATTTCTGTAGTTGGGCATTAACTCATAAACTAATTTCAATCGAAGAAATTGATGTCAAAAGCCTTTCAGTTAGTTTTTATTGACCGACCCTTTTCTAACCGGTTCTCCTGTTAGCTTGCAGCTCTTCAAATCCAAATATACACACTTTAAGCAGAGAAGAACATAGAAGGAAAAACGAAACGAAAATGGTTTCACCACGATCACGACACCCAACTACAATGGAGAACCTCCCAGGCGAAGTTTTATCAGACATATTCATCCGGTTATTGGCAAAACAGCTTGCTCAAATGAGGTGCGTTTGTAAAGATTGGAATGCTCTGTTATCTGAATCCTCCTTTGTAAAATCCCACCTCCATCGTTCTATGCATATCAACCAGAAGATTCTTACGTTCTTCGGTGTTAGGGCTGACTGTACTTCATTCACTGCAAGCCCCTTTCGTTCTCCCGCTATCGAACTCGACAATTTTTTCAAATTCCCCGTTAATCTCGAATCTCAACCTGCTCGTTGTTTTGGCAATGTCGTTGGATGTGTGAAAGGGTTAATATGTTTTAAGTATGAATCAGGTGATGATTATATCGTTTGTATTCAGAACCATTCTCTCTCCGCTTTCTTAACTCTTCCGCCATGTTCCATGGGCTCTTCCTCTGAATCAAGAAATATCAATTTCCGGTTTGGGTATGATCCCAAAACTGATGATTACAAAGTGGTGAAGCTTACAGAGCTTTTCAACCCACGCAGAATGGCACCAGTTGAGGTTTATAGCGTGAGAAAAGGTAAAGGTTCCTGGGAGTTGGTATCTCAAAGAATTCCATCACACCTGCAATGCATTAAAGATCAAGATTTAGTTTGTGTAGATGGGCATGAAGGCCATCTTCATTGGATTTGTTATACTTATATTGGTGTGAAGTTGACAGAATCGATATTGGCATTTGATTTGGGTTCAGAGAGATTCAAGGAGATACCTTTTCCAGATTCTTTAATACCATGTTGCTTTGGAGAGCGGTTGAATGTGGTAGGAGTTTTGGGTGGAAAGGTTTGTGTGATGTCGAGGGTTGGAGGGATTGATTGTGAGGTGTGGGTGAAGGATGAGTATTCATGGGTCAAACTTCATGTGTTTTCCGGGTTTAGTGGTGGTGATCAAATATTTCCATGTGGATTTACATCAAACAATCAGTTTCTTTTTAGATCTATGAATGAACTTGATCGTTATGGTTTGTATGATCCAGTTACAGCCAAGAGTAAAAGCTTCAAGATTCGTAGAGGATCTGTTGGATGTAAAATTGTTGAGTATGTTGACAGTCTTGTTTGGATAGCACCTGCCAACAAATTGAATAATTGAAGAGGCATAGTGATATGTAGTGATATATGGGGAAGTAAATCCTTTAGATTGATTAAACCCTAATTTAGATGATAAAACTTGTCTTTTTATTTGTCGACTATGTTTTGGAGTTTGTATTTGATATTTCAGGTTTTTGTGTCTTCAGTTTTTTTTTTAATAGTTGGGTTGGGTTCATGTTTTGGATTGCAATTAAACCAAAAAAAAGAAGTTAATTATTCCTTGTTTTTCCTTTTTTTTTCTTAATAGATGCATAAAATTCAAGAGCAAATCTTAAATAGGTAAGGTTATTGTATTCTTAAGATAAACCCATAGGCGGGCGTTTCTGTCATGGGCTTCAATAGGCCTTAATTTTATTGCTTATTGAGTATTGTTTCTAGTTGGGATTTTCTAATGTGTGCCCTAAGGCACATATAAGAAACATTAATTGATGATATATATTACCATAATTAATTATAAAATACATTAATTATAAGAAATATTACCATAATGAAATGTGAAGTGCATTAATAATCTCCATAATAAATGTATTTCGAATTGAACTATAGTAATATTTTTCATAATTAATATTTCTTATATGTGCCCTTAGGGCACATATTAGAAAATCCCTTATGTATGTGTTCTATAAAAGGTAAATATATATTAACGCCTAGTTATCCTACAAATTGGCATCTATCACCCTTAATTCAAACGTATATTACTATATTATTATTTCTTTTAATTACATTATATCTAATTATTTAATTTTGTTTGTTTCTAAAAATTTCAATTTATTCATCAAAAAGGTCTTAAATTCTAGGTCCAAATACATAATGTTACATACATCAACCTCAAGTGAATGTGTACAAAGATTGAAATTCTAAGATATTTGTGGTGAATGTGTACAAAGACTGAAATTCTAAGATATTTGTGGGTTTAATGGGGTTGTTAGTTGGCGTGGTGAAAGTTTATTGAAAACCGCATAAAATATAAAGTAGGGGTGAGCATAATAACCAAAAAACCGAATCAAAACCAAATTAACCGACATAACCGAACCATTTTTAAAAACCGTTGGTTCCGTTTTAAATTTTTGTTAACCGATAACTAACGGTTCGGTTATGGTTTTATAGGTTAACCGAACCATTATTAACCGAATCACTAACTTTATATATTAATATATAAAAACTATAGATTATACATAAAATAATATAGTCAAACTTATTTAAGACCCATTAAAATTTCAAAATATAATTCATTAATCCTCACTTATTAGGAGACGAACAAGCAATCAAACCATCAAAGACTAATCACGCAGACACAATCTTCCACTCATGTCAATAGTTAGATTATTCATTAATGTTGTAATTCCTAATCGGCTAATTCTACAATTTGTAAACATTATTCACAATTAGTTTAATCTTCACATTCATAATCCTAAATGGATGCTTCTAACACCGTTAATCCTAATAAAAAATTGTTGACTTTATAGACCTATTCGAAAGATTTTTCAACTTAATCACATTGAATGTATATGAGTGATTGAGTTTTTTTATCCGGATAACACATAATATAAATGTTTGGCTATTTTATTTTATAGTTTTTGATTTAATCGCATTGAACGTGTATGAATATTTGGCTTTATTTTAAGGTCATCTCCAATGCACTGAACTCTTAAAAATTCAATGGATTGCCACATCAGCATTCCACTAACTATATCATTTAACCTATTAAACTCTACACTCCATTAAACTCTTAAGAGTTCAATGGATTGTCACATCACCATTTTAATTTTTTTATATAAATAGCAGTAATAAATAAAACTAGAATATTACATTAATTAGAAATTTAAAGTTAGAATTACTAAATATTAATTAAAGATTACAATTTAGAAATTAAAAGTTACAAATAAGATGTTATCTTTTCAGAATATTTTTAGGATTTATATATTTTTTATTGGTTAGAATAAAAAAAATTATAAATTAACTTAATAAATTAAATTATTGAATATAAATAAAATGAAGTATAAAACAAAAAATAATAATATATAGTTTGTTTTTTACAAAAAAAAAGTTTAACTTTCAATATAATAATATATAGTTTGTACTAAATTGAGAATGAAAAACAAAAAGAAAAAAAAATAAAAAAAGCAATTCCATACCACCGTTAAATGGTGATTAAACCCCCCATTCATTCAACTCCACCCACAATGCTAAATACTACATAGTTAATGCCACCTCACTATTTTTTATCAATTGAACCCTCCATTAAACCCCCATTGAGGATGACTTAATGTTAATATCAATTATCAATATATGAAATTATTAATGTCAATTTTTTTGAAGTTTTTATATTTTTATTGAATTTTTTTTATTTTGAATGTGATTATGTTTTATCTCACTCTGAGTATCAAATGTACATATTTTATCATATTATTATAAGCTAGGTTACAAACATTGGCGTCGAGGACTTTTTTGTATTCCGTTTTCATTTTTTATGTCAATACACTTTCGTTATTTATATTATATTGAACATTATGGTTAACCAATATTACCCATTAACCAAAAACGTTAACCGAAAAAAATCATTAACCATAAACAATATCAACCATACCCAATGGCTACAAAAATGCATTAACTAATCATAATGGTTATGGTTCGGTTTTGACCAATAACCGAACCAAACCGCCCCATACACACCCCTAATATAAAGTAGTATGGATGCTTGCGTGTTGCTGCTAACCTATTTTCTCAAATTTCTGACATAATTTCTACAGTATTCGGTTACAAATGGATCATATCTATAATTTTGTTATTACAAAGGGTCCATGAATGTAACTTTGTTTGACATGTAGATTGGTTTTGTAATTTTAGTATTTTATAGGGACCAATTTTATAAATTTAATATTACACCAGGGCCATTTATATAATATCACTATTATATGGATACCATTTATTTAATATCAAGGGTCTCTTTTTTACTTTTTTTTTTTTTGAAATTTTATTATTTGAGTCTCGAGTTGGGCTGACCCGTGACTCGTAATTTTTGAAGCGAGTCAAACTAATTTCGATTCATACTACTGAGTCGGTTCGTTTAGGGTTTGGAATAACTCAGGCATACGCAAGTTTGAACTATGTATATTTTTTCAACGGTTTTTTAGAAAGATAAATACATACTTTTTCTAGTTTGAGATCCATGTTTTGTGTGATATAGTTTTTCAAGGCGACCATTTTTGTATATTTTATTTGGTTGTGCTATTAAATTTAGACTGGACAAGGCATGTCAGATTCATTGACTTCAACTTTTACCATTCAATTTATTCATAAAATGACATTTGTTGATTTCTTGCAAAGTTATGGTTTTATGTCCTTTTGTGGTGGATCTGAAGAGTTCATATCAACATGTGCTAAATTCATTAGTTATTTACTTGTCATACATAAACATGTGAACAATGAATAAGTCATAATTTTCCAATGAACAAGATTCTCATGCATTATGTAATTCGAATTGTATGACTCCAAGTTTATGTCCAATTGAAACTTGGTGATAAGATTTCTTTTCACTTGGTTAAATCTGACAATACCACAAGCGTGATATCATAAGAATCAAGTCCATAATTAATATTGTTATTATTAGAAAAATAATCAACACACTTATCAATGCCATTGCAAGGAAATAAGGCAACTTCATAAACCAAAACTTCATTTTATTGCTAAAAAGAACATTGCAAGTTTTCCTTGCAATGCATAAAATGTAAAACTATATTTCTAGACATCTCCGAAAAGTAATAACAATATATTAAAACTATCATAACTACATAGTAGTAACTCAAAATTCTGATCATCGAACCATGCGACAAAAGTCCATATCTCACTGTCAGATTTAGCTCACTTTACTCAAGCTTCATTCTTTCTTTTAGATCCTAAAATACCATCAAAATGTGATCATCACATTATGTATTAAGAGTCTAAGAATAGCAACTTATAATGAAGTTAGATAATGAATGTACCTGAAGTAGAGACAAACGAGTTGACTTTACCATCTTTAAGATCCTTTAGGTATTTTTGGCAGTTTCGCTTACAATGTCCCTTCAATTGGTAACAGAAACGAATGGACTCATTGGGGTCAACATGTGGAACGATCTCAGAACGAACCTTTCTCTTTACCATATGATCAAACGGCTTGACCTTAGCCGATCCTTTTCAAATGGAAATATAAACCTTTTCTTGACCACAAATGTTATAATTGTCAATGTCTATGGAATTCTTGGGATTAGACCCTATAAGAATTTCTACTTCAGTTGTGCTCTTAAGCATTTATGCTTTAGCAAATATCAACATCTGGGTCAGATCAGTTGGGGTCACATCGAGATTCTTCATATGAAAGTTCTCAACGAACTGACCAAATGTCTTAGGAAGCGAGATAAGAACCAAATCAATGGCTAGCTCCTTCAGGAATACGACACACATTCTTTCCAATTTGTCAATGTACGATTTCATTTTCCAAACATGCGCGCATACAAGATTTCCATCTTCGTGTTTACATGTCACACCCTCCCCAACCGATGGCGAAAAATGTCGAGTGGTGATGGTACATAGATTTCCCAAATCACAGAGCACTAATCATAATTTACCTTAACTAAACAAAAATCCACAAGTCTTTATGTCGATAATCTTTTCCTTACTTGATTTCTACTCCATCACAAGAATACATGCAATTTTTGAAAACGTCAACTTGATGTTGGTGAGTTCACAAGTTTTGAGATAAAAAGTATAATAAACTCTTTTGAAAACTTTTTAGAAATCTTTACCTTCCTAGATTCCTAGTTTCCTACGTCCTATTATATCACCTCTTTATCTGCTAACCCTATCTTATTGACTTCTAGGATGTATTATTAATCCTAACTTATTATCTTTGTAGGATATCTAACGATCCTATCTTATTATCTTTTTAGGATATTTTATTTACCCTAATTTACTATCTTTGTAGGATATCTAACGACCCTAACCCTAACGTATTTTATCTAC